ATTGAGTGTCCTGTGCAAAGTGGTTTTCTATTGTTTGTCTGGTTCCTGGTGGAGAAATTTCTCTCATATTCAGAGTGAAATTTTATGGGTGTGTTTGCTTAAAATAAGCATTTTATACAGCCAGCATCCCAGGAAATCTGGGTGAAGGTGAATCACCATTACTACAGTGGGGTCCTGAATTCATGAACCAGCCCCTCAAGACTGCAGAATCCAGGTCAGTTTTAGCAGAACAGATGGATTTCTGGATGCTTGCTGCAAGGATGTGCTGACTCCTGTGTGAAATATGTCATCCTGAACATTTACCAAACCACTGTCTTCTGAAATAATTCTTTGGTGTGTTTGTTTTCCTTACTGCAGTACAACTAGAATACAGGTAAAGGAACAAAATGTGGGATAAAGTCTTGTCCTCGTGCTGTTTAGTGCAAGATTGGCAGTGGATAGAGGATTACTGTTGATTAACTGTGTAGAGATGAGGTGTTGCTAATAACACAAATAAAAGCTGAGGCTGGAAATGGTGCAGGAGTTTGTTTGTGCTTGATTTCCTCCTGCTATTGAGTGCAGGCAGGAGTGAAAACAAAGTTACTGCAAGTCCCTTGTAGTATGTCTGTAAACCATGACCAGTCTGTCTCCCAGAGCCCACAGTGTAGTTTTGATAATGTCCTTGAACTACATGTTGCAAAGCTTTGGAAATTTTGGATCTTTACGAAGCAAAAAGTTGTTGTTTTTTTCTTTTTGTAAAACCAACATCCTGAATGGCCAGGAACATCCATTTTCATTGAGTGCACTTAATTGCAAATGAAGGGTCTTATCCTCTGGGATGCTAAGATCCTTCAGTTTCTGAGGGACAGTAAACTTTGTTTACCATAATTCAGTTTCAGGTTCAGCTGTTTCCAAGAACTCTGAGTATTTTAACCATTCAGGATTTTTTTTTTGCATCTCTTTGTCTGGAAAAAGATACTTTGAGCAAGCAACTGAAGGACCTTAATTTCTTTAGGTTATAAGGAATGATTTACAGGCTCTTTGCTTAAATTGTGCAAGTATCTTCATCGAGAACAAATAAAACCGAACTACTCTTTTATTAAACCATTAAAATTACAGGAATATCCAACAGGAAATGACAAAAGAAATTCCTGTAAAAGCAGGTTGCTATTTCTAAACAGGGCTGTGAACCACTGAAGTTACTTGTGGCACTGATGGTTGAGTTGAAATTTACAATATTATGGAATGTCTAGAAGATGTGCAAATTATTGCTTTAATAAAGGTGTACCCCGGTAGAAGTCTTGGGAATCTGTACTAAATAGTGTAATGTGGGGTTTGCCTCTGATTCTTAATCTCTGAGAATATGTGAGCTATTCTCTTTAGGGGTCTGATATTCTTGTTACTCTTCATTCTTCCCACCCTTCTCTTCCATTCTGGAGGCAAAGGATAACTGACTCTAGCCATGCAGGAATTTCTTGACAAGTGAGTCTTCTGCTTGTCATTTTAAAATAAGTGCAAGGTGGAGGTGCTGATTTCTGTTGAGCTTTCAGGGTGAACTGCTAAAGTTTCAGTAGGAGCTTCAGCAGTCTGAGTTTGCCAGAGCCCTTATCCTTCAGATAAATCAAGTTGCTCTAAGCAAACAACTTAAATGCCAGTAAATGTCCCTGTGTGTTTGAGCTGCTGGACTGAGCTCTGTGTGTCTCTGCAGGGTGAATTAGGCAGTTATCTGGGTTCCTAGCCTCAGTTTTGATGTCCATTTGTGGGCTTCTAAATGTAGATAAATACCAGCCTTGCTGTCTAAACAGACACATCTATTGTAGGGAGCTCTGATAACTGGGCTGTATTAAAGACCATCTTCATCTCCATCTTTTTCTGTGATGTACTTTGAGGTGCTCATCACCTGAACACCTGAGCTCATCACCTGAATCACTGATTCTTTCCACTGGACTGTGGAAAGAATCAGTGATCTGCTTATTCCAGGTGCTGAACACTAACAAAACTGTAACTTCTGTCTAAGTACACTAGCTGGACTTGTAGTCATGTTGATTCTGGTATGTCTTCCTTTAAAAAGAATAAAGTTGAAGTAAAATCAGAAATTCAGTCATTAAGTAAAAAACAAGTTTCTCCTGAAAATAAGGAGTTCTACTGCTCATGTTCTTTGTCCTTTTATGAACATTTTTGTTTTTGGTTTTTGTGTTTCTTTGTGTTTCTGCAGAGCTGGTGATCAGCATTACCAATGGCTCACATGGGTCCAGATCAGTGACACAATCTGGATTACAGAGTTAGCAACATAAAGTGTTGTGTTACTAACTTCCACATTAACTCAACACTTTCTAGATTTGGGAGCAGAGGAATTTAGGGAATGGATGAAGTTGGTGGTCTCTGTTTTGTAATCTTGCATTCTCATGGCTACAGGGTGGGACTGTTACTCAGAGGGCTTTAGTTGTGCTGAGACCTTTTTTTTGCTCTCCTGCCTCATACAACCTCTTCCCTCTCACTTCTGTGCAGGAGAGATGTCCCATTTCACTGGACACTTAATGTTACTTTTCATTGCTTGTGGAGGGTGGCAGGAGAAAGAAGAACTCGGATAACTCACAATAAAGAAACCCACATCAACTGTACTTATTTTTGAATAATACCTTATGCTCTTACCCCTTGCTTTACTTGTGATATTTTAAACCCTCCAGCAGGTGCTGCTGCATCCTGCAAATGTTGTCTTTGTGGAAGGGGGGAAAAAAGTCATGGACTGGACTACAACTGGACTTTGTTCTTTGTTTTGTGTCATGCATATTTCTTGTGTTCTTTTTTCCCCTCAAACTGTTTGCCAGGTAAGTTATTAAGGAGAGAGTTTTTATGATCCCAGTGAGTTTAATCCTGCAAGCACTCTGTAAGAAGGGGTTGAAGATCAGTGGGAGTTGCTGGTCAAAGTCATGCTGAGAGCAAGCTGAACAGACCCAGGCAGAAATACATTTGTCTTTCTACAAAATATGAAGAAATCCAAGTGTTTTCTTAGAAGTGAAAAGTAGTCCTAAAAGAAGTTGAATTTATAAAACTTTACCATCTGTTTTATTGCTTTTCTGAATTTTCTGGAGCTTCAGTAATTTAAGTTCATGATTTTAAAATCAGTCATCATTAGCCTTACTCGCCTTACTCTTGGGTGCTAGAAGTTTGCAAGACAGATTACACAGCACACATTTCAGAATCTCTGAGTCAGGATTTCCATGTGAGGAACTGTGGAGTTACATACAGCTAATGTAAAGAGATGTGCTTTATCCTTTTTGGTGATCGACCACTTGTGCCAGGCAGGAATGTGGGGGTAAAAAGAGTTGAGATTAGGCCTTGGTAATGGGTAATGTATCCTTGAAGTCCTTGAGTTGCAGCAGGCCAGAAATGCCCTTGTGAGCTAAGAGATCTCATTGATTTCTGATACTTACCTGCATCGTTGTACTGTACAATCACAGTGATTAAACTTGGTTGTGACCTTGGCACTTTTCAGGTTATCTAGGAGCCCTAAGTTTAAGTAAGATGAAGTACTGGTTTGCTTTTGATATTTAATTTTAGTAGTACTCTAAACTTCTTAATATTAGAGTAATGGCAGTTAACTACAGTTGCAAATCCCAGGCAGGCTGCACCTGCTATCCTACATTGTGAAACAGCTTGTGTTCCCTTCTTGTTCTGCCTGAATGGTTTGAATTACCATCTTTCAATTATCTTCTTTATTTCTTTAAGAAATCTAACCTGGATTTGGCAGTTACCTCTCAGAAAGTTACAAGGTTGGGGCAGGAGGAAAACACCTTCATTTTCCTTTTGACTCAACCCCAAAAGGTTAAATATAATTACTTTATAAGAATTCTTGTCATAATCTATGTAATCCAGATGCAGTAAGCATGGAGATCAAAAGTCTTTAGTCAATAAGGCTTGAAATTCTCATGATTTTAATAGATTGGTAACTTTATAATAGTTTGATAACTGCAGGTTTGGATCTTCCAGAAGTTTCAGCTCTGTTAAATTCAGTCACTCTGGAATGTGTATCTGTCTCTATAAAGGCAGTTAATTTTATGCTAAAGCTGGCAGTATTCACCCACTTTAGGTTCTGTGCAGTTTGGGGTGTCTCTCCATTCATTAGAGAAGGAACTGTATACACAAGGTGGCAAACTAGATTTCTACAGTGTATGTCTTACAACATGGAGATACATAACCAAAATGTGATTATAATTAATTGATGCATTATGTATATATAATTAATACATGATTAATACTTCTTCATTGCTTTCTTTTCCTGTATTCCCAGTGAAGCTTATGAGAGCTTTTACAGTTTTGGCCCTAGTTTATAAAGTTCAGAGGAGGACAATGCCAAATGTGAAATGTGTGGCCCCCAAAGTGAATGCATGGCAGTGTTGGAAAGAGTTAAAATTTGCCCCTTTATTTTTTTTGTAGTTTTTTCATAAATGATCTTCAGTTGATGATGATTTTGTAAGTAACCATTAAAATGTTGTAGGTGATTGCTTGTATTATTGAGGCACTTTTGTCTTGCTTTTCCTTGAAATCTTTGTGAAAAAACTCACTCATATTGAAAATATGAGTGAGTGGGCGAAGTCTGCATTTCTACCTCTTTACATAAATAAGATTTCCAGTAGAATTATTTTTGACTTCCTATATAAGAATACTTATTTTTTTTTACTGTATCTTTCTAGTACTGATAGGTTCTTCAGCTGGTATTTGCTATACTTACCCAGGCAAAATCTGGGGGAACAACTGATTACAGCTCCTGAGATACAGTTCCCAGGAGTCAGATCGACAAAGGGGTTAAAAGTGAGACAGCCTTTTACTTCGGTGGAAGTGCAGTTGTTGATTCAAGGCTCTCAGTAAATGATTGTTGGAGATCTGCCATGTGTAGCTGAGCATTCAGAAAGTACACCACAGACTCTGCTTCCTCCTGAGGAGCCTTGTCTGTCAACATCTCACTTTAATTGTAGTCTGTAAGGTACCAGCAGGCAGGCAAAGCCCACCAGCCAGCAGCCATGGAAGATCCAGTCTTCACTCAAATCAATCAAAATACTAAGGACACCACTGTCTCTGAGGTTTCAGATTCTGAGGAAAATAAAGGGGGTGCTTTTTTTCATCATGTCCATGAAGATTCAGCATCCCCCTTTTCCATCACTAATACCCCAGAAAACATGGATGGTAGTAAGGAGAACTCAGAAGATAGCTGTAATAATTCTGTGGCCTCTCAGCATGGAAGTGATGGAGAAGATGATTCTTCATCTCACCATGGTGCTGAAGAAGATTACCCACAGCAGCAGATGCATCTGATGAGTCCAGCTCTGGAAGATAAAGACATAGAGGGCACAATGTTTGCAAGCAACCTGCATTTTCCTCCAGATTTCCAGTTTCGTCAGAGACAGAGCAACTCTTCAACTTCCCTCAAGTTTCCCCTTAACAATAATGGAGAAACAAACAACTTTCAGGAAGATTTGGAGATTTCCATTTTTGTAAAGGTAAGAACCCAGGTGCTCCTAAGCATACCCTAGTTTTAAAGCCCAAATTAATATGTGTATCCTCCAAATGAGTGAAATACAGCTGGCCATTGCTTTGCTCCCAACTCTGCTGCAGGGAGCCAATCTCTTCACTTACCTCCTGCATCTTTCAGCAGAGAAAGAGGTGATTTGTGTTGTGTGGAAATGCCTGGGATTTCTTCATTCAAGTGGAAGTAAGTACAGTGTAGGTATTCTGATTGTTGCTGCAATTCATTTATTCTGGGAAACCTCCCTGCTGTTGCAGCTAAGCTGCTACTATTTAGTTGAGCTAGTTCAGCTATCCCTACACTTCACTATCTGGTAGCTGAGACCTCAAAAGTAATAACTGTGAATGCTGTGAAGGAAATAGAATATATAGTTCAAATAATACTCATCCCAGAAAGAAGTTTTTCTTTCATTTATTTCAATATTTAGATTTAGGCATTTCTGTGACAATTTCAACATATATTTTCATTAACTTCCAATTAGGTATAAATTACTGAGAGGGCTTTCACACTTTCTCTCACCTTAAAAAGGATTTCTTAGCTTTCAAAACTGTAAACACCTGTGTTCTTGAATAAACACTATGATTCCCTTCATAAAAGCACTTGTATTTAACTTTTCTCAACATTTATTAGGCTGAAACACAGGCCTGGCAGTTCCTTCTTTTTAATTTGTGTACCTTGAATAGAACACACTATACCGTGATTATAATATTCTGTTATTTCAAAAAAGCCTTATGAAGTTTGTCACTTTTCAACATAAGTAATATTATCAAAATCTGTTTCTCAGTTCCATGGGGGCTTTGGAAGCAGAAGAGATTTTTTTCATCACACATAATGAGAAGTGTTTTCAGTAGTCGTTATTTGTTAAATGACTCCCTGAAACAGCACCTGTCCTATTTCTGTGACTGGATCATGGTCATTGCTAAAAATATGTTGATTATATGATCAAAGTAAGAGCTGTGGCAAAGTTCTATTTTATATTTCTGCATGTAGTCCTGTGTATGTGTAAAAAGTTGCAGCAATTGAGTACATTTTGTTTGTTATCAACTACATGGTGTTAGCAACCTGTATTTGGGCTTTAAAATAATCTCTTTAATTTCCTTATTCTTTTGCATTCCTCCTACTTCAAAAGAACAATGTCTTTTTCTATTGATAAAATAAGAAATGTGTGCAGATGTTCCCATTCAAGCAGAGTTGTTTGGGTTAATTTGAAAAATTGAGAGGAGAGGCATTTTGAATAGAACTGTCAGGGACAAGGTCTGAGGAAAGTCCTTTTCCTTGCCTTTGTTGTGCAGAGTAGTTGATTATCCCATAAAGGTTCTTATCAGCTGCTCCAGAGAGAAAGGCAAACTGAGCTCTCTTCACTTGCAAAACGTGACTGCCTGGTGTCTTTGAGATGTCCTTGAGCCCCAAGATATTCCTACCTGGCTGAAAGGCTGGGACAAGAGGCTCTCAGGCGATCCATGCTGTGCCCAGTGGTCAGGGCACTGGGTACTGCTGGGTAGGTGACTGAACTCCTGTTACAGTGTTTTACTCCTTGAGAACGTGGTGATGTTTTGTTTTTTGCTTTTTGTTTTTCTATCTTTCTGGTATCAAGGTGATAAAGCAGTAACTCCATGGAGTGCAGATCCAGCTTTGCTCTCTTTAATTATCTAGATAGCAAAAGTCAGCCTGTAGAATGGAATGTCACGGAGTAATATATAACAAGAGTAGTGAAATCCCTGAGGTCTGTGGCTTCTTGCACAGGGAACTAATATCTCAGTTGTGTCTATAAATATTACTCATAGATGGTTCCTTTCTCTCATGGTCTGTAGCCCACCTGAGGCCAGTGTTGCTCTGAAATTGGGTTAATCTGGGTTTGCACTTTTCTGCAGACACTAACAGTAACAGCAGGACCTGGTGCTGTAGGACTATAGTGATCGTGACAGTTCTGCCACTATTTATTCCTCCCTTTGCTTGTAGACCTAATAAATCTCTGTGAATGACTGGAAACGTGAGTATCAGAGGACTGAACACCAGAGAAAGTGGGAAGATTAAATGGTATCTAACTCACAGTGCAGCTGGATGGATAATGCTCACAGTAGTCCATTCATTAGACACCAATAAAATGTTTACATCACTTTAACTCATTTTTCACTGATTATCAGTGCTTGGTAACTATGTCATGTCAGTGGGCTATTTCAGGATGTGCCATAAGGTAAAAAAGGAATTCCCTGTGCCTTTAACAGCAGAATACATCATGTAACAACATGGATCTGTTTATGTGAATCCAGCATGTCCGGGCTTGTCACAGCCACTTTAATGCTCTTTCAATAACTCTGTAATTTATTCAAACAAAAGCCTTTGCAATTTGAACACAAATATGACTGGCACATGGGCTGTGTAACTGAGTGCACAGGACAGCCTGATCACATCATAGCTCCAAGGTCCAGCCTTCTCACCTGTACACTGTATTTTCCTGTTGAACAGGATATTTGTTCTGAAGGTTTGGGTTTCTTTGAAAATTTTAACTTTTAAGTTTTCCTGAAGCTTACTTATTATTTAAAGACCAGTCCTCTAATTTTCTTTTCAGAAGAAAATCATTGCCCTTCTGTTTTCTGATGACCAGAAACTGACTACAGATTATAGTCTCTCTGTACTCATTTGTGCCATAGGAACACAGTTCCCAAAAGAACTTTACCCTAAGCAATAACCACCTTGTGTTAGGCAAAAATACAAATGTTATTCTGTGGTTTAGCATCATCAACATGCACCTGTTGGATCACTGCACTGAAGTAACAGAGTTATGGATGCTGGAGAGCATCTCTGGAGATCACCTTGTTCAACTCCTTACTCAGAGCAGGATCACCTACAACAGCTTGCTCAGGGTCATGTTTGGTTTTCAATATTTCCAAAGATGAAGAAACCACAACTTGTCAGTGCAACCATTCTCATGTCCTACCCTCATGGTAAAACTGTTTTAAATTGAATTTTGTGTATCTAAATTTGTGCTTATTGCCTCTTGTCCTTTTAGTGGATAACAGTGCTTATATTTAAGAATCAGAACTTACACATTTAGCTATTTCTGTTTGGAATTATGAAAAAAAAAGTAAAATTTTATTAAGTCAGGAGCTGGAAAATAAAGGATATTTTTGTTTTTCCAAGAAGATGTTTTTGACTTCCTCATTTGAAGTGCTGAGTCCTGCACTTGGGTCAAAACAACTCCTGCAGTGCTGCAGGCTGTGAGAAGAGTGGCTGGAAAGGTGGCAAAGGACCTGGGGGTGCTGCTACAGCAGCTGAACATGACCCAGCTGTGCCCAGGTGGGCAAGAAGGCCAATGGCACCTGGCTTGCACCAGCCATGGTGTGGCAGCAGGGCCAAGGCAGTGACTGTCCCCTGTGCTGGGAATGGCTGAAGCCACACCTCAAATCCTGGGTTCAGTTCTTGGCCTCTCATGACAAAAAAGAAATTCAGGGGCTGGAGTGTGTCCAGAGAAGGGAATGGAGCTGGGGAAGGGTCTGGAGCTCAGGTCTGAGGAGGAGCAGCTGAGGGAGCTGGGGGGCTTTGGTTTTCCAAACTCCCTGAAAGGAAGGAGAGGCCAGGTGGGGGTTGGGCTCTGCTCCCAATTAATGAGTGACAGGATGAGAGAAAATTCCTCAAGTTGTGCCAGTGGAAGTTTATACTGGATATTAGGAATTTTATTTTTTTCCTTGGAGAGGGTTGTCAAGCACAGGCTGCTCAGAGAAGTGGAGTCACCATCCCTGGGCAGCCAAAAATGTGTAGATGTGGCACTTGAGGACCTGATTTAATGTTGAACAAGGTGGTTGTGCTGGTTGACAGTTGGACTTGATCTTAAATGGCTTTTCAAACCTTACCAAGTCTGTGATTCTGTGGTGCTCTGATTTCCAAGCCAGGAAAGTCTGAGGACTCCAACTCAGTGCCACCACTAACTCTGTGCTAGCTGCCTACTGCCTCCCCGGGCTGAGCTGAGCTGTTGTGAAGGACAGACCTTGCTCCTCACAGGGACGGTGAGACTCACTGTGTCACTGGGAAAATCACACTTCTTCCTAATGAGTTGGCTTTTCTCTTGTTCTATGAAGAATTCTGATATCTGTTCTGAAAATTTTGTTTAGGAATGTGAATTAATGATTCAGAACATGAAGTCACAGGACAAATCTAATTTTAAACAGATATAATTTGAAGAGAGCAGAACCACATGAATGTCCAATCAGAAGTTAGTGATTAAACTGTTTTGCTGAGCAGAACTGAACATTTCTTACAACACTCATAATCTACAGAATTGCAGTTTTGGGCTGTTAGATATTTGTAAGTATAACTGGGTGTCCAGATACTTCCTAGCAATGGAAAGCAGTTAGTCTTCTGACTGAATCCAACACAGCACATTAGGCTGGTGTTCAGCCATATCTTCTCCATCAACGTTTGCAGCTAGAAAGGTAAATTCAGGCTGAAGCCAGGTGGCAGCTGTAACTCTCCATATGTACACAGAATTATAGTAGTTTGTCTTTTTATATCATTTTAGCTTTTAAAAATATTATAAATAATTAACCGATGTAAACAAATAGTATTTTGGTCTTATTAATAAGCTTAGAAAAAGGTTGAGTGATTCATAATCCATCTTTTAAATAGTGTTGACTGAGCAACCTGAGCAAGGAAAAGATCCAATAACTATTTTCAGAATCTTCCAGTCTTGGCAGATTTACAGACCAAGATGCTGAAGCTGACATGTACACACCAGGAAGTGACTCATGGGGAGCCAATATCCTAACGTGATACCTGTTTTGATAATTAAAATGAAATTAATGGTTGTTTATTCCTGAAAATAGCTTAAGATACCTTACAAGTACAATTAAGTATAGAAATACAAATTTGGAATACCAGGTGGTTTGTCCTGCTCTCAGTTTTCTCTAGAGTGTCCCTAACAGAAGCTACTTTGGGAACATTCAGTGATGCCCATTCAGCATCTATACCAATTAGTCT